GAACGTAGTGTAATTTCATTATCAGGAACATCTTTAATGTTCAAAAATTATTTTTGGCAAACTGTAAACTGATATCTAGAATAAAGCGATTTAACAACTCTTTGCTTAGTACCGAGCTGGTATAGTCCATCGTCTGTGATATTCATGACAATGGCCAGAATATTTCGAGCATCACCACATCCTCTATCAACTTCTGGCACTAAAATTCGTACCATTTTACTAACAGATATCGAGAGAAATTTTTTGTCACTATGTTTCAACATTTCTTCCGCTTGTTGTCTCAAGTTTTCTACTCAGAATGCCGATTTTCGGTTGCCACTATATTCCTAGAACATAAAGGACATAATACTGAAGACCCGTGACCTTCATCAGAATGTAATGTTTCTAATACACCACATATGGAATGAGTGAGTTTGTTTGCATCGTTTGCATGACTGAATTTCATTTGTCTCTTTGAAACATACACAACATAAAGTAGTTGATGGTTTGTTAGTTATATCCTCTGCAACTGAAGATTGATCAGGTGTCTCATGTGTTTTATAGGTTTCATCTTGAGGTTCCCTTTATAAATTACCTTGATTAATGTTATTTTTAATAACTCTCTCCAAATCTTCTTCACTTTCAAGATGTTGTGCAACTGGTTTGGCAATGTTATACCTACTTTTACCTTACAACCAAAAAGAACCTCATAAGGTGTTTTGTACTCTTACTTATTTTTCATGTAAAGTTATATTTAGTACTATGTCCGCCATCTATCGGCAATCAGAGAAACCGTGTTTTGCCGCACCTGCGTATAAGGCGACACGCCACAAGTGTGAGAGTGACGAGACGATTAATGGCGACGCTTTGTCTAGTACGTATGCCTGTAAACAAATTGGTGTAATTTCCACAATAAAGCATTATATTTGTTAAAAGACTATAGTTAATACAGTCCACTATCCTGAGCACATCATTTTGGTTCATCGACCCGCATGAATTAGTGTTTGTGAAGTACAAGTCAAGTGTTTTTTATTCGGCAAGCCTCGCAGAAAAAAGACTAGGCACGTGGGGAACGTGTGGTTGGTTGACGACGAGCTCCAGCACAGCGAATCCACAGGTGACAAGTATCAGAAACCCTAGGAGCAGACTGCATTCCGTGAGTCCATTCCAATTTCTTCTTTACATTGTACTTGAATTTAAAATTGCTATTATCCGACGTGATAAATAAATAAAAAAAATGACTGAGTTACGGCAACTGAAATTTAAAAGAGGTCAGACTAAAGGTAGTTTGACACGGTTGCAGACTTTTTTTGAATCATTAAATTTACATAGTCTCGACGAAGATACTATTGTTAAATTGAAATTAAGATTGCAAAGACTAGAACCAGTTTTCGACGAGTTTTCTAATTTACAATCAGAAATAGAGTATAAATTAGATATAGATGAAGCTTCTGATACAGAAAAAGACAAGGAAATAGTAGAAAGAGAAAATTTTGAAGCTAGTTATTTTGATTTAGTAACAAAGATATCGGGTATAATTACTAAGTTTGAAAAAAGTAAATTAAATTCTTTAACGACGAATGTTACAGACTCGGTTATAGCTAATAGTAACAATGGACATTCATCTCCATTTTCTATGAGTGCAAAATTGCCTATTTTGAAACTACCTAGTTTTTCAGGTGTTTTAGACAAGTGGCTCGAATTTCGAGATGTTTTTATATCTTTAGTTGAAAACAATGCATCCTTGGATGAGATTCAAAAGTTTTACTATTTAAAGTCATGTCTCGAGGGAGAAGCAGCTCAGCTGATTGAATCTATTTCAGTTACCGCTGAAAATTATTCTGTGGCTTGGTTAACATTGACAGAACGGTATGAAAATAAACGACTGATTGTTTTTAATTACCTTCAAACATTGTTTGATTTCCCTGTGTTGACGAAAGAAAATAGTGTTCAACTTCGTAACATGTTTGATGTTTTTAGTAAGAATTTGAGAGTTCTAAAAAATTTAGGGCAGCCTACGGAAAAGTGGGACATTATTATAGTACATTTATTGGTATCTAAATTTGACAATAGGACGAGAAGAGACTGGGAATGTTTTAAGATTACCGGAGACTTACCTACATTTGATGAAATTAAATTATTTCTNCCTTAAAAAACTACCCCTAATAAAATATATAAAAAATAGTTTTTAGCAGTTTGAAATGATTTGATAGTACAAACAGGATAAATTAATTTCTCTTACCTGTTTATAATACAATTTATCGTTTATTGTTTTAACTCTTAAAAACCCCCTCCAATGACAAAATATAAAAAAATTACTTTTAAATTATTTAAAATGAATTACAATGCCCTCTTGTAGTATTTATCAGATCACTGGATTTCTTGAAAATCACCCTTCATTATACAAATAAAAACAGTTTTATACATTTAAAGTTGATAAGTAGAATTATTAAAAGATTAAAGGGAAAAAGTGAAGCTATTCTGTATATAGAATGCTCCAAAGTTGTGAATAACCAAAATATTTATATGCTCCGAAGATTGAAGCGATAAGGTACCGTTGGTCTTTTAACGATAACTTCCTTAATTTTAAAGCTATTAAGACAATCCAAAAACGATTTTACGGAAAATTTCAACAGCTAAAAGTATTGAATATTTTTTAACGAGTTATTTTTGAGATTTTTTTGACGACATCTCTGTTAATTTTTAGCCTATACAAATAAAAAAACCAAAATATTTTGTGCTCTTGAATATTTCTCGTATCTTTTTTATTTTTAGTTATTTTCAAAATTGTGTTATTTTTTTGGAATTAATTTTTTTTTTCAATCAAAACGTAATATTTTCAAAAAGATGCATTCTAAACCGCTTAAACTTGTGTAATATATTGTTAGAATATAAAAAATGTCAATTGTTTTTTTTTCCGAAAAAGCGAATTAACAGTTTTATTTTGATCATAACTTTAATTTTTATGCTAATCACTTACAGTCAAATTCATTTTAAAGATTTTTTAAACTACTTTAAAAAATGTTCTGTGCATTTTTCTTGAAAAATACAATTATTTTAATTATTTTCCGTTGCTTCCAATTTAGTTTCTGGCGGACATCATAATCTTTTTCTCTTTCTATAAGCTTCATTTTCTTCGTGATGTTTTTTTTTTCATAGAATGTATATTTTCCGAGTTATTCGAGAAAAACTACTGAAAAACGTCTTTTTTAATAAAAAATGTACATTTTTCAATCACCAGAATAACTTAAAAAATATCGACTTATCGAAAAATGTTCGTAAGATACTTTTTGCTTAAAATTTATTGTTTTATCTATTCCTGGGGTTATTTTCAATATTTTATTTTTCATCCACTAGAGGGGGTGGCTTCCACACCCTGGGCAAAAGCGCTCATCAGCTCTATATGACTTTTGTTTCTTCAGCTATTTTCTGCTTACAGTCCAATCGGTTCTATCCGAAATAATTCGGAGGGGAAACCCTTTCTTCCATGGACTATATGTATTTTTATATTGCATAAGATACAAACTATGTAATTTCATATATCAGGCAATAAAACTTCATTATTTTTTTCATATATATATATCTACATGTTTTACATAATAATCATATATGCATGATAAATACAATAAAAAAGAATAAAACGCTGCTATTTTCTAAATTCTAGTTATATGTTCAAAATCACTGAATAAGCTACTAAGTACGTATACTTAACACTAGTTTCTCATAGATATTTTTTTTTGGAAACACAATAAATCGATTGAAATACTAGAAATACTAAAAGTTCCCAAAAAAAAATCGAATTCAAAATACAATTTTAAAGAGATTCCTAGATAAATGAAACTGTCAGCCAAAAACTAAGCCTGTTGATATTTTTCTTATGTAAAACAAAGTTTGAAAGCGAAAGGCAACAGTCATGCTGCATGTTCAAAAGAAATGTAAAATAAATATGATACATAATGTTTCATCTTGAAAATATGAATTAACTATTTAAAAATGTAAAAAAAATAATAATTTTTAATTGAAACCATAATTTCTCTTCTACTTAATTTGTCAAGTTTTTTTGCAGAGCTTTAACCATAATGCATAATTTAATGATGTGTGCAAGCAAATACAAATCCTAGTATAAACATTTCTATTTTTTCTATAATCACTTTGTCATTATGAAATTCACATTAGTGTTTTGCCTGTTTCAAACAGGTACCAACTACATTTTTTAAATAAGGATGTTTTCTACAAAACAAAAAAAAATTAATACAAGTCTGTAATTATTCACTGCAAAATTCAAACTCATTACAGTCTTAGAAAGATTCTGCTTTAATAAAGACATCAGTGAATTAGTTTTTGTTAGTTTTCTCAGAAAGTAGTCAGTATTAGAGAGTAGGTACATTTATCAAATAAACGATTCAGATCTAGAGATTAAAGATACCAATGATAGTGACGTTACTAACCAATAGCACATCAGATGTGGAACCCTACAGTTGGTAATCGAAGTGATAATGGCAATGTAAATATCAGGTGATTTTCGAGATACCATAATGATGTATATTCTGTTATTTAGAGAGGCAGGAAGCAGTGAAGACCCATAATTTTTCAGTTTGCATTTGGCATCCAATCATTACAGCGGCTCCCCCTAAAGCAGGAACTGTTATCCTCTGTATATAACCGGATTAATCCGGTATCTTGAGGCCTTACTTAATTTAGGAATTAAAATGGATACAAATGAGATCCAGACTTGATTCGAATTAATCCGAACATTGTTTTCGGAGCCATTCCGAGCCGCTAATTTGTAATCAATCTTAATATTCGCATCAACAATAATCGCAACGGCTTTGTGGAGGCGCACTAAATTGAACTGAATAGTGGCGCAGTTATCGGGCTGATTAAAATTTGGTTAAACGTGTTAATGATTTCGCGTTAATAACGAGCGCTCGGAAAGATTAAAATGTTCACTTCGACTATAAATCAGGCTGATGTGACACGCGGTAGATACGCATTTGTTATTGCGGTACTGGTGTTTACCCCGCAGCCAGTTATTTGCAAATATTGTTTTTTTTTCAAATTTTGATATGTTGTTTACAATATTATATTAAGTACTTGGCAGTAGACGTGCATGGAGTTCCGCAAGGTTCACTTTTGGGTCCTCTACTTTTTTTAAATTTATATAAGTGATCTACCAAAATTTTTGGCAGTAATATCTTAACTTTTCATAAATAACATCAATGTTACTACATTAAATTCAAATTTACCTGTTTTACTTAATGTAGTGCCTCTGTTGTTAAGATGTCCAAGACCGAAACAATGATATTCCGTCTTCGCTAGTTAAATAACAAATAATCCTGAAAATGTCAAATTTCTTGGCGTTTAAGTAGATCCTCACCTGTCGTGGAATCTACAAACTAATTAAATTTGTAAAAAAATTCTTAGCTTTCCCGAAGTTTGTTAAACGAAATTGTCTTAGTTTAAAAATGCCCACCTGATTCATACTGTGATATAAAGCTGTCATTGTGTGTATTTCCTCTCCAGCGAAGACCCAAGTTGCAATTGTCACCGCAATGTGTAACCGCAACTATCAAAGCGACAACAAAGTATTTGGCCAGTAGTAGTACTTACCCTTAAACCAAATTATTATTTACCAAAGTGGGGAATAGTTTTTTGGTAGGTATGTAAATAGATCTAATGATGATTTTGAAAGTAATCCCGTCACTGTTTTTAAAGTCAAGCAACGCTAATCGTGGTTAGTAGTTGGATGTGCGACCATCCGGAGAAGGCTCGCGATGCTCGTCCACCTTTCTAGTGGCCGCAGTATGTCACTGTATTCACAGAAGCTGTACAAATTTTGGCGAGGCTTGTATAGGAAGACCATCCGTCGGAAAGGATGTAAAACCGTTGATTGCTTGTCTAAACAATATTAGGCAAGTAAAAGGTTCCTACCCCACAACAAAGTGGGGTGGGAAAACTTACAGGTTGGGGGTTGCTGGTCTCCTGACGTTGCTGTTTAGTCATAGTAGCAGAAATAGACTGACGTAAAATAACCAAAAAAGCTAAAAGTTAAGGTAATGTTGGGTTTATGAAATTGATGAAATAAGATGCTAAATCACATAATAATTAGTGGACAACTCTATTCATATGTCTCTCTCCTTGTGGCGCTAATTTAAGGCCTTCTAGTTAAAGCTCAAAATGATCATCATGATCACTTTGAGACAAACTGATTAATATTAATGAATATTCAAAATTTTATTCATCACGTTTAAGATCCACTTGAGCGAATTTTCAAACGTTTTGCACTTTATTGACAAAACAAAGAAAATGTTTGTAATTTAATGCGCTTACAGAAATAAGACTTTTGAAGAACACTTTAATCCCAAAAATTACCAAGCTATGCACATAACCTTTTTCGAATTTTATTATCATTTAGACAGATGTAAAATTCATGCAAATGTTAAAAATCATACATTATTAGGTAGTACAAGTATGACTAACACTAAAAGGAAGGAAAATTTAGAAAGTGACTACCACAGATGGACATTTCACCACTTAAAAGTAATTTTTGCTACGTTTGGGTAACATATTTTTCGTTTAACGTGTCTGTTATCTAAAAATTTTCTCATGTATAGATTACAGGCGAGTTCCAATTAAAGTTGCCAATATGTTGTTAATTTTAAAGTCACATTAATACCCCCGTTTAAGTCATAATTTGTCACGCTATTAAGAAAATTGCTTTAAAGGCACATTTTAGTGAAATCCATTGTTATGTCTTCCATTTAATACTGACTTTTTAGGTTTGTATAATTTTAACTGGGGCTATAACACTACTTAATTATATCACATATTTAAAGTAAATTTGATATTCTGGTGACTGCACATCAAAATCAATAGTATTTTTTCGTCCAATGAGACATTTATAGTTTTATTCTCTACACAAATCCTAACTACAAGATACAATAACTTTAATATTAGGATTTGTCTGTATTAGTTAGGGAGCTGTGCATAATACTCGTATTTCAGGATTAGAATACAGGGGTAATTACAGAAAATATTTTCTTAATTTATTATTCTGACTATTTCATCCACTCAATATTTTAGTGCCTCCTTTATGTTAAGTACATATAATTTGCACATATTTTGTAGTAAAAGAAAAATTACATTAAAACT